CCAAAATGCTAAATCCTAAACCCTTGAAGGGGGTCCTGTTGTTGTAAACCAGGGTTTGTCTCCTACCTTAGTATTTTACAGCGAAAGTCCAGAACAAGTAAAACATCCACTGTCTAGTATTGGGTTGCGATTCTTTAGGTGCTTTGGAATAGAGCAAGCTTTTGTCCTGTACGGGAAAATTTAGGGTTTAGATTGGGTACTGNNTATTAAGGGCTATATATACCCCTATTATACTTATTATCCAACTGTTACTGACGGGGGGGGGGCAGTACCCAAGGTTTAGGGTTTAGGAAGGATGGCATGCCCTACAAGAGTCTTGGTTTTTGAGTTCCTCCAGGAACCGAGCTGAAATGCGGGGACCCCTTGCTACTCAGAAACATCTACTTGTTGAGGGGTGTTTGTTATCAGGGCCCCTCTTAAGTAGTTTAGGGTTTACTATTTGCAAGGGTTTGATTGCTCGCGTCAGTAGCACATTGAAGGATGGATCACTATAGCGGTCCCTATGCAATCCCCGAAACTGTCATAAATTCCATAGTCTTTTACACGCCTCTGTTCTCTACGAACATCCTCAGACACCAATCTCTAGCCGATCAGTACGTCGAAGCCGAATGCTTTTCTCAGCCAGGTCACCGATCACCGTTATCCAGCTGAAGATTGTGAGCTCAATGAGCCTTGGGGGATGCATATGGCGGTTGATAAAAAACTCTTCCTCCTCAAATGGCCACGATGGAAATTAATGTCCCCCATACTTCGTCTTATAGACCAACAGTAACCCTCCCAGATAGAGTTTAGTGTTGGGAGTAAAATTTGAGAAAAAACACCGAAGACCTGTTAAGGCCGCGCGACGTGTTGTGGGCCGCGCACCACCTGCGAAGTGCTTTACGCAGTTGTTTACGGTTTTAGGTTTTGGAGTTTGGAATATTCAAAGTTTATTGGCTTTGTGTTTCTTGGCGCCAAAAGCTTAAGGTGTGTCTTTAGGGTGCTTGAAAACACATAAAGAGCTTGAAGCGATGTAACCTCCACCAAATTCCGTGTGCGTTCTACTTCCGCAGATTAGAAAAAGAATCTCCTTTCAGCTTGTATCCCATGGCAGGTGCCTGCTCTTGGAGGTTCAGGGAACGATGCACCGCAAACCCCAAATTCGCAAATACACTGAACCCCAACCACTGACACGCAACAGCAAGCCCTTCAGACCTCCCAATGCAGCCGCTTCGAAACACCCTACTAAGACTGCTAACCCAAAAGCAATACCAAATCCAAATCCAAAACAGGACTTACACTGCAGGTCCAGGCGCTAAACCCTAAAAGCCCTGAAAACCTGAAAACCCTAAACACAAAAAACAAAAAAAACTCAGGCCTGAACACAAAACCCGGGGCCTTGATTAATCCCATCCCCTGCAGGCACGATCTCAGATCATTACCTCAAGGACGTGCAGGTCCCCCCCCTGCCGGGAAGCTAAATGCGACCACGCTTCAACCCTATTTCCTCAAGGCTACACATAGCTCAAAGTAAGTACTATTCATAGACTGTGAGGCCTAAAACAAGATCCCACCGCCGGAACGCACTTATAACAACGCCTGCATATAACATCACCAAAAGATGTTAATCTTTTTCGGGACAATGACTTTAATTCGAATCTAGTTAGCCCTTCTAAATTGGCCTTCAAACCTCCATTGTTGGCATTCTTATTCAGGGGCTCCCCCAGAAAGGAGATACATCAATCAAGGGGAGGGGTGGGGTGGGATTTACTAATGCGAAATGAACATTATGTATAGATGTTCAAATTTTCGAAGAAGCTACTTCGAAAAAATCAGGGAGGAGTGAAGAGCTCTGTAGTAAGGACTGTGGTATTTTGCGGTCTATATCGGGGTCCCCTATGTTAGGAGACCAGCAAGTAAATTGGCCCCGCATATCCTGGACGGGGCCTGTGAGCAGCAAGAAAGTGGAAGAGCCAAACGTTCATAGCATTCAGCAGAACGTGCCAGCGCAGGTACACCTTCTTGGTGCAGAAGGCTTTCAGGGTGGTAGACATATGGGAATGTTTCCAAATTGTCCCTCTATCTTCTCAATATATTTCTAGGGTCCTCAAGGCGCCCCCGTTTTGAGAACCCCCTAAATCCACTAGCTGAGCCCTTCAAGTGTTGCTTCATTCCTAAACCCAAAAAATATCGGGATACTGGAAAAGAAGAGGGAAACTACTATAATGGGGCCGGGGCTATATAGGGATAATGCAAGAGAAAATGGAAACTATCATAATGGCATATGATGGACTTAAACCCGAAATCTGGAAAACTTAGTGAAGTGAAAGCAGAAGCTGTGTTTAAGTAGATCCTGCGCTGTGCTTTCTCTGACCTGTCTACCACCCAAACCCTAACCTCAGCGCCCATGTGGTCTGGGGGTTAGGGTTTAGCGTTTGAATGGCCCATTTCTCAACCTATAGCTGCGAAAAGACTAACGCCGTGGCAAAATTGTAGCCTATGTACGCTGATGGTTACAATTGCAGGTCACACTCACGTATCGTAAATGCCCACCACCTAAAACAGCGGGGGTTCTGCACCTACCCCAGGAAAAGCTTAGAAGCACAATTCCAAAGCGGACCAACAAGCGAACCAACATCAAACACCTGTTTTACGATCTCTGTTCCGTACATACCTGCTAAGCCTAAACATGATGTTGTAATCCTTAGGAATTCGCCAAATAGCCCTGAGATGTTGAAATTTCAGTGTTGTTGTTGAAATACCCGTTCGGGGCCTATATCAGGTTATTTTGCCAAAGGTACAGGGCATTTATGGCTACCAGGCCACACCAGTGGTGGCATCTAAGATAACGATGGAGATCTTCTTGTATGGGCCAACTCATGCACCTTCTTGTATACCCAAACCATGAAAGCAGTGTGTTTATGACCTTCAGTTAGCAAGTAACCTTCCAGCCACACACTACGCTACAAACCCGGATCCCTCAGCCCCAATTCCTCTACACGTCACAATGTAAATCCAACAGCCTCAAGCCTAAGGCCAAAGCCTTCAACGACTTTGTTCCCTAAAGCCAGTGTTTCAACCGTAGTTTTGATGGTTGGTTGTTCTTCCCAGGACCGAGCCATAAATAATGCCTTTATAGGCCTTTAGGATCTCTTAGTTTTTATACGTGAATACGTGAGGCCCTTTGTGATCACGAGCTACTGCAAATCTTCGTAAGCGCACGTACAATGAAACCCCTTAAGTTGCAAAACCATTCTATCCCGAAAGCCTTGTATGAGTCTTCCACCTCCCCAGGAAGCTCGCAGCCAAACTCCCTAAACAATGCAGGTCCTATACCAGCTGGCTCCAATGAGCGCAAGCAGCATGAACTGGTGCTGCACAATCAAAACTTTAGATATGATCCGGTTTACTTATAATAGGCTTCTTTAATAGCCTTTCAAAGCATTGCGTCGGAAATCCTGTTGCTACCAAGAAAGAGGCAAGACTGAGCGCCCCCCAGGTTTCCCTCCAATTCTTTTCGAGAACTGGGGTTGCTACTTGCTTAGAAATATATGGTAATGACATCCTTCGCGCTGAATGGTGCGCGATTGCTTTCGGCAAGTTTCGCTGGCAAGAGGTGCGCGCTCCTCTGCCCTGCTTTGATGTTTCAGGCAGCTCTTCCCGTATAAGCTGCGCGCTTGCAGGACCTAATGTGCATGTTTCAAAGACTGGCTTGCGCAAACCTCCGTATGGCTTACAGGATCGATTTTGTTTTTGTCTTTGGGGTAGTTTGTTCCCTTTGCCAGCATGGCAGGCCCAGTGATCTTGAGAGATTTGCTTTCCGGGAATTCAATTGCTAGTCTTTGGGAGCGGGACTTTGAGATCCGCCGGCGTGTGCGGGCAACAGGCAAACTGGTGCTCAGAGGTTCGGACGAGCCGGACTCAGGGCCATGCAAGAAGATCGTGGCCAACGCGCGTCGGAACAAGGTTGTGCTCCTGCCGCTGCTTCATCGTATGGGCGAGACCGAATTTAAGCTCCCAACCGTTGACTTGCTTTTGACGGAAGTAGCAGACCTCCACTCTCAAGTGCATCTTTCTCCCGATGATTGCTGCAACGTAGTTTGGAGCTTGAGAAAGTTGCTGCAGTTGGCGAAGGCCAGGCTTTACAAGCCGCACCCTCCATCAAATGAGGACAGGATTGTAACAAAGTTGGCTGAATATTTTTCTTAAAGGCACTGTTGGCTCTGTCTGCAGGATCCGGATCTTCGTCAGATGATGTGTGCCTTGCTCAACGTCGAAGAAGAAGAAGTGGAGTCCGAGGAGGCTTAGCTTTCAGGGGAGGGTCACATCAAAGAGTTTGGAAAGGCCGAAGGTTAATCAATGAGACTAGCTTGTTTCGACTGGGGCCAGGACCTCCAGATTGCGTGGGACGACATGCGCAACAGACTCGGCAGTATGCCTTCAGGCTCCACTACTTCCTTGGAGTTCACTGAGGACACCCAAGTACCGCGACGTCGCATGGAATACGATAACGACATGGAAGACACGTTGGTCGAGAATGATCACCTGGAGCGCGTGGAGGATGATCACCGGAGCCACCCTAGCCACGCGGGGGATGATAGCCATGTTCCCTTGGAAGATGATCGCATTGACCATGTTGAAGGTGATGTTGTCCATGGACTTCGGCCACAGAATGTTGAGACCTTTCTCCGGCCCACGCTTGTTCCCCCGTTGATGCCACGCATGCCGCCCGCTGAGCTTGTGATGGTCAAGGAGGATCCTAGTGATGATGAGCTCAAGATCACAAGTGTTCATGCGGCGACCCCGGTACCTCGCAAGAGGGCAGATGAGATGACCAATGAGGAGATTCGCGCCCGCCTGGAGGAGATTTCCATGAAGCACGATAGGCATAATGATGAAATGGGTTTATGTTTTTTGCAGAATTTCAGGTATGAGTGCGTTTTGATGTGACAGGTACCTTGCCATGGAGGAGAACTTGCGTCGCGGCAATGCTTTCCGCGCTGATTCAAGTGAAACGCCAGGTCATCTAGATGCAATTTCAGCATGGGGTGAGTTCACGACATGGTTTCGGACTGAGTCATCGTAAGAAGTTATCCTGACAGTGGAGCCTGCGTTTCAGGTTCAACTTCCTTGCCAGCCTCGCCACCTGCAAGTACAATACGGTGCTTGGACACGGACGAAACCCAGGTTGATGTGCCGCTCGAGCATTCTGCTGGATCTGCTCCTGCAGCTGTCTCAGAGCATTTCCCTACCGTGCCTGACGGATATGTGACAAGGCGTGAGCAGTTGGGCTTGCGAAGTGGTGGACGTGCTGTTGCTGAAAAGATGGCTAGTGAGCCCAAGCTTGGCAGACGCAAGCATGGAAGCAGAAAGCCCAAACGCAAGATGCTGAAGGAGCAGGGTGCCTTGCTGGAGGCGAAGAAAGCCTGCAGGGATGAGGCCCCGCAGGATGATGATGTGCTCGAGTTGCGAGGAGGGTGATTGGTATGGCTTGGGTGACCCCCCGGCCCTGTAACAGTCACCACAAACAAAAGCACCAAAAAAAAAACACAACACAAAATGACCAGGTCCAGGCGATTTTGGAAACTTAAACACATATTTGGCGATTTTCAGCAAACTTCCCTCCCTGTAATGTGCTG